ATGTATGTGTGTTTTGAATATACAGTATGAGTGCAAATTATTTAGTGCGGGTGTGTGGAAAGTGCCGAGCTGAAGGGGTTTACTGCCAGTCCTTCCTAATGGAGCCTTTCACTCTCCCTCCATTCATGTGACGGTATGGTGACGGAGAAGGGGGAGCCGGGGATTAAGGGGGTAGAGGCAGTGCCTTGTTAAAGAAAAAGAAAGGGTTTGAGTGTGTCGATTGGATTAACTTGTTTGGGCTTATTAAGAGGGGAGACACAGCAGCTTGTTAAAAGCACTGCATGGGGCGTCCCACAGTGAGACTGCAGGGTCACCATTCAATTAGGTTGAAGCTCCGCCTCCGTTCATTGTGGCGGCTGTCTGCCAGGCTCCCGGACCACGACTGGTCCTACACTGGGAGGGGGAGTTTCACCGGAGACAGTTAAACTAAGGCAGCCAGACCTCCTATAGAAGCTTGATGATTGGTTTTCTGTAAAATCACTGAGGAATAATATTGGCTAGGGCTGGGGAGAGTTTCTTTGTTACTACTGCTGGTACAATATTTTAGCTTCAGTGTTGATAAAAGAATAATATCTTTTTTGATACCTTACTTATTAGCATGTTTGTAACATCAGACAAGACGAATTTGCAAAAACTTAGTCAAAAATGTTGTAATCTAACATTTTAAAATCCTTGGATCTGCAAATGGCAAATATGGTATGGATTAAAGGTCCAGTGTGTAACATTTGGGAGGATCTAATGGCAGAAATTTAATATAATATCTATAGGTGTGTTCTATTACTGTATAATCACCTGAAAATAAGAATCCCTTACATTTTTATCTACAGGGTCCTCTTCTATGGAGGCCGCCGTGTTGAACCATCATGTTTCTAGAGTAGCCCAGAACAGCCATACCAAACAGTGACTCTCCAAAGGGCCTTTTGCATTTTTCATGAGTTTCACAGCCACCATAGTTTCCTTATTATTATTTCCTCGCTACATAGATGGCACGCTACTTCCTGCATTAGCACTGACTGTTGGCACTGGACCTAAATTGTGAGGTACGGATACGTCTAATATGAACATAATTCTTAGGTTACCATGGTGGGTTTTTTTTTTTTACAAAACCTCATTTTCCTGAAAGAAATCAGAGTTCACAAAACGTTAATAGTTTATACTTTGCGTATAATTGGAAACATTTTGTTGTAATCAGGAACAATCTAATCAAAGAATAAGGAAAAATTATCTGCTGCTATGAATCCAATCTTTTGGACACTTAATAGATTTTGATACCGAGACACATTTCAGCCTCTACCAAACAGTATTGAGGTTCCAGTCCCAGTATCAGCTGCCTTATTCTTTCTTTCACCTGAAACGTGTTGCTCAAAACACACACACATACACTCCGTTTATTCACCCATGACCACCCTGTTACACCCCGTACTTGGCAGGATGCTTATCTGGGCAGACAGCTTTGGGCGCGGGGAGCCATCTCCTCTGATCTCCTCTGCAGTTTAAGAACCTTTTAACTTAGAAATAGCCCTCTGTCAAGCCCACCGCCTCTTGATTCCGGCTTATTCCCTCATCTCATGGGACTGATCTTCCGCCCCCATTGCAAACCCTGCAGCAGCGTTAGCAGAACGGGAAAGAGCCGATAGACATCCTGGCTTTTGAGATATCCCCACACTGGTGTAATAGGAGAACTGTGAGTGGATTTGATGAGTGAGTGAAGTGCAGGTGGTTTTTAGAGCGGCATGTAGGGCAGTGTGTGTGTGTGTGTGTTCGTGTGTGTGTGTGTGTGTGTGTGTGTGGCTGGTGCGTGAGCTCACACATATCCTCCAGCACCTTCACAGGCATTGACCTGGGCATGGCAGACTCTTTTAGGGCATATGGATGATGGGTCACAGGGTTTTGGTTTGGAGATAATTTCCTGCCACTGATAGACATCTGCTAAGTAGTACAATAACCTAATAGGAGGAGATGAGGGGAAAGGGGGACATGACAAACAAGCCAAAGACTTGCTCCTTCTGCCTCGCTCTTAAAGGCAATAATAGGAGAAAATTGGTTCTTGAAATTGAATTGAAAAAAAGCGGGTCTCTTTCAGCGAAGTATAATGCCTCAGAATACATTTGGTGAGCAGCAAATGGAGAAAAATGGAGGGTAGTTACACGATTGTCTTTCATTTCAGAGAGGGGAAAACTGTGGAGGTATCCCCCCGTTAGGACTAGCTTTTAGTCTCAATCTACACCATGTGCCTTTCCTCTCGCTCAACCACTATCTTTTAACAAATGGGCTGTGAGGATGGGCTCGTTGTGAAATTAGTATCCTCACAGAGAGGACACAGAGAAAGGATTATGTGAATAGCCAGTAATGAGCTCAAAGTGCCAGTGTGTTTGGGCCAGGCCTGCCTGTGTGTGAGAGGAAATGGCACTGCAAGCGACCTTTTTTTGCTCAAGCACCTGGCGAGAAATAGAGTGGCCCCTCTCTTCCATCTGCAATGTGTGTGTTTGTGTGTGTNNGAGAGAGAGAGAGAGAGGGATTGAACTGTGGAATTAAGAAGAAATTCTGAGTCTAAAGATTTAATTTACTTAAATTTTTTAGGGAGAAGCTTTTTTTTGTGCACACCATTTTCACACCATCAGGCTTGTGTTAAAAGTGTTGTTTTGTGCTGCTTCTGACAGGTTTCAAAAATACACATTTGACTTGGAGTGTTAAGTGTGTTATACAAGCCTCAGAGTCTGAGGTCAAACTTAATTTTTTGTGAAACATTTTTTATTTAAAAAACGCTTTTTGTGAGTGAAAGATTGAATTCTTTGTTAGGAGGATGCATTTTTCTCTTACACCTGCTTCTAATCTTTAAGTATTCAAACCAGGGGAGTCATTCAACCTTAATTATAGACGGTAAATTCTGTTGTTTGTCTATCATGCTTCCTTCCTCCATTTTTTTTCAATCCATACTTTAATCAAGTTTTACTTTATCCGTGAGGGGAAAAAAATTATTTGTGACAAACAGCGCAGTAAAACAGTGGCAGTAAACATGGATCGGCTGCTTTAAGCTCTTTAAAAAAGCTGCAGTCTATGTGAGGAGGACTGTTAAAGTTTATACAAATGCATGTATTATCACGTATCTTTTAAAGATTTAAAAGCTGTATGTAATTTTATATTTAAAATTGTACTATCTGCATTATTGTGACACTTATGGGAAGAAATCTATCAACCGTATAACTTCTTAAAGACTGTATGTGATTTATTTTTCACAGGATTTGTTGCTGAAGGTCGGATGATTTAGCATGGGCTGAGAAGTAGTTTTTAAAACAACATTTATTATGGGAGTTATTTGATTCTGTTAAATATTTTCTGTAAAACTGCAGATATTGTGTAGATGTAATTTTGAAGTTTCCACCTTCACATATTGCAGGAATGTTTTGTCATTTTGTAAAGGTTGGTTTGATTGACTGCTTCTATTAGTGGTTTAATATTTTGATGTTTTTCTCTGGTGATCTATATTTTGCTTTATTCCTTAAATGAGCAAGAACAGGAGCTGGCGCTTTATGGACTGCCATTAATTTATCTCGTAATCATTGTAATTGCTTTCTTTCATATTAAAATGATAATCTATACAACTAAGTAATGGACTGATGGCAGGTGGCTAAATGTTCATTTAGTGATTCACTGAGAAAATAAATAACAGGGGACAAGCCTGTGACAGGCGCATGAGAAATCATTTTTCAATAATCTGCCACGCGTCATGGCAGGAGACGCTGGCGCTGACAGCATAGATGAAATATTTGCCTCTGTTCTTTGTTTTAATATGGGAGGAGACCAGCCCAGATGGAAACGATAGTGTTTCATATCGATGCATTTTGGACAAGAGACTCAAACACATTCAGAGCTAAGAGTAAGGCCACTATGGCTTCTGCAGTGCTATACTCAGTGTACAGTAAGAGCACATTTTTCCTGGAAACCAAAGAATATCCACTAAGTGAACTATAGGAGTGAATCTTGATCCTTATCATATAAAAACACTTTCCGGACCTAAATGGTTTGCTTTAGCTGTTCTCATCTGGCACATAATCCAAGTAGAAGACTTTGTAATCAGTCATCATTGCGCTATGTGACACTGGTATGTTGCTGATGAATGATACCCTCCATGCTACTCGATTGTTGAGGTTCTTAGTGAGGGAGCTGTGGGTTTTCTTTTATTTATTTATATATATATATATATTACTGTGTCCTGTGTTTCCACTGGGGCTGTGATGGGCTTTTTGAGAGGAAACTAGCAGCAACTGCCTCCCTGTTGCTGAGTGAAGGTGGCTGTGGGGAAAAGGGGGAGTGTAGAGCTGGAGATTTATGGCCTAGAGGGAGATTGATTAGTGCCGTCACTAGCCCTGATGTACGGTTGGCAGTCTCCCCCTCCCAACCCATCGCATTTGCTCACACACACACATATATGCAACCATACGGTTCAACACACAGCTACACATACATCCAGACACCGCTCAGTCCCCCAGGCCTCTCCTGACAGTCCCCCAGAGCTGTTGCATGTTAAGTTGTAGCAGACAGACTGCTGTTTTCTCAGCATTACCATTTTTTTTGCTGTCCATAGATAACGCCATCAATCACCACATACACACTGCCCTGGAAGGAATGTGCCTGAGTGTTGCTACTTTCTGTGTGTGCCTGCGTGTTTGTTTTGAGGACGGTTTCATAGACAGGAGATGTGGTTGAATGGCTGTGTGGATGTGCTGTTTGAAGCTGCAGAGTGACTGGCCTGGACTGTGCTCTGAACCCGTGTCAACCGTGCTGCCCCAGTGCAGGTGTGTGTTTATCATTCAGCACACAGAGCTGAGAGGCAGGCAGCTGTAGGCATGCGTCCCCAATTAAATCCTGGGTGAGAAACCTAGCCCATCTAGCCCAGAGCCAGCTCCTGCCGGCTTACCGGACACGGCCGTGGAGCTTTGACCTCAAATCATCCTGCTTAACTCACTCAATGTTCCTTTCTTTCTCTTTTTCTGCTCCAGGTTGGCCGCAGAACTCCCCCGGCTGTAGTACTGTGCCCACCTCACCATGCTGGCCTGTCTGCAGAGGAGGCAAAACCCTCCACCCCAGCACCCGGTGTGTGCCAGCAAGACCCTGGAGCCCCCGCAAGCCCTTGGACGGAAATGTGAGTTAACAAAGTGTCAGGGAGCTGTGGAGGTCAGGGGTTCAGCTCGCCCAAAGCTAAGGAATGAGAGAGGCTTGTGTTTGTCGTTTGTATTTAATCTTTCAGTCATGCTGAATGATGGAAACGGGTAGTTAACTCTGACTGTGAATAAGTGAAGGAAAATAGACTTTCCGGTTTTCTGTTGTTTGTCACTGTGTTTCCTCGCTACTCTGAGGAATTCTAAACTGTTTCATTCGCTCTGCACTTAGACCTTGGATTGCCATGTTGTTTGGCTACACATTGTGATGGGGGCTGTTTAGCTGTGCTGATTGTGCAGTCGTGGCAACAGGGTTGAACAGACAGTGTTTAACGTGCCTCACTGGCCCTGGGTGACCCTGAGGGTCTGTAAACATTTACAGTGTCTGGCCCTGGCTGTGCCGGCCGCCTGTAAAGCATGACAGCTGCTCTGTTTGCTCCCCGAGCACCACCCTCTGTCCACTCACAAAATGGTGTAAAGGGACGGAGATGAGCCAGGGCTGAAAACTGTTACAGAGCTGGCAAAACTAGTTCAGACCAGTTTGGGATTAGAGAGAGCTGCGGCACTCAGGCATCTGGAAGGTGAATTTCTCCCTAATTTTGTTGAAGCTTTTGGATAAGCCTTTTACAGTGAGAGTCTGTTTTCTGATGAGGGGAAGAAAGGTCTTTCCTTTTTATTGAACGCTCCTAGAGTCTTTAGTGGCCTTTGTTTACATGGCAGGCCTACGAGCTACCTCAAGCCGATTTAAAAGGACTGGTGGATGGAGAGCAGGGGAGCACTAACCTACCAGTTTTTACCTCAGCTTAGAGAGGCTTAGTGGGAATAGCAGTCCCTGTGCTCTTCAGCGGTGGGACATTGTATCAGGCCTGTAACCAGTCCAGTGAAAGGCTTTAAAGAGACTCTGATTGGCTCTGGGTGAAGAAATGAAGCACTGCCTGCGTTCTTTCTCAGCTCCTCACTGGCCAATTAGCTACTTCTCAGCTCCACATCACACTCAAATCGCCTCCTACAGAGGAGAGGATAGTCACAAACAACAAGGTGACTGAGTGCTACCTCCGTCCTCAGAGGTTGTTTTTGCTGGCCTGTATGGATATTTTATATGGAGCTGTAAAGATGTGTGCGAAACAGAGGGAACGAGAGAGATAAACAGAGCTCCGGGTGCATTTGGAAGGGGCAGCTCTTCAGCTGAGTGGGGTTCAACCGGGCTCACTAATGAGGTTTCAGAGAGAGGTGAAGTGAAAGGGAGGACAAAGAGAACTGCGCAAAATAGAATTAGAAAAGGTAAAGATGGAGAGGAAGGGAGAGAAATTGAGGGAGTCCTCAACAGTCGTCTTAATCGATTCCCTCCTTCCAATTTCGCAGGATTAGCCCACTTCCTCTCAGGGTCCTTTATTGAGGAGCAGCCAGTGGGAGTCAGGACTCAAATCAATAGAGAAAAAGAACAGTCTCCAGTCTTCCCTTTGCCCTCCCTCTTACTGACCCTCTCTGTCTGACTCTCCCTCTCTCTGTTTCTGCCTCTCCCTCTCTTTCTCCACCTGTTAAACCCTTTGATTGAAAGACTACCACAGCGACTGACTTGAGGTTCATAATGAGGATGTTTGAACATAATAGCCTCCTTTCTGTCCTTGGAGGGGGAGGGGGGAGCAAGTGTTGGATTTCCACCACTGTGCAGCTCTTGGCCTCAATAAGGCAATTGTTCGTCCAGGCCCAGAAGGGGTGCAGAAAGGCAGACAGTGGGTCTGGCTGCAGAAGTGGGCACACTCAGGTCACCATGCTGAGCAAGTCCCCATGATTGATTGTTCGTGGCCCAGTTTGTGCCAACATGGAAGGGGGTTGTGGGTAAGGTGACCTGGGCTCTCAACAGGAGGCTGAATACCAGAATACACCCCTCAAAGAGACAGAGTGAGTGAGAGCACAGGAGGGGGATTACCTGGCAGTGAGGTAGAGGTGAGCTGTGTCATTTGCATTTGCTGTCCTTTGCACAACAGTAGTGTGCATGTGTGTGGGGGGGGACTGGGATGGCAGAGCAGTTGGGACGAGAGGGTGAGGAGGGTTTTAGAAAAAGCCCCTGCATGCAGATGCCGAGTGGCTGCACAGTTCATTGATGCGACTCCCATTAAAAATCCCTCATACCCTCAATAAAAAAGGACTTAACTGGCTCTACCATCAGCTGGAAGCGTTCAGATCGGCTCGCCAGACAATCAATTTCCCCCAAGCGCACAGAGCTTAGCGGGAGAAACGGGAGGCGGAGAGCGGGATGTTTCCATTATCACAGCCCCGCTCTGTGTCTGGACTCAGGGGGGTGGGGGATGGAGTGGGGGGTGAGGTACTGTAGCGCGGGGAGAGCAGAGGAGAGAAAGGAGGGAGCGGCAGAGGGAGGTGGGGAAAGACAGACAAGTGGAGAAGAGAGAGAGAGGGAGAAGCAGAAAGGGAGACAGAGAAGCTGGCTTTTCAAAAAGCCATTGACCGCCTGCCCTTAAAAATATCATATTGGATTAGCCTCACAGAGACGGCCTTTTGATATTTTTTTCTTTGGCCGTAGAATTAAAAGGAGTGCAGAGCATTACTTGAATTATAAATCATAGGCACTTGCTTTCACTGCGCCCAAATTCCGCGCATATGTGGCTGCACTCTCCAGCGCCAGCCCCTGTCATTTTTAATTAAATCCCCCCTTATGGGTGACATTTGTAGCTTGCCCCCTCCTTCGCCCTCCCCTCCACGTCTCTCTACCACTGCCCTAGATGGAGACATGAAAGGCAGAGACGGCAGCGGAGCCAGGGCCTCTCATCGTGTTGTGCCCCAGAGAGAGGGCACCCATCCAGACAGATGAGAGAGAAAGACCCTGCAAGGGGAGAGGGGTGAATGGATGTTACTGACCCTGGCCACCCTCAGCCAGAGGCGACCTCCCTCGCTACCCATCCCTCTCCTTGATCGTTGTCCTCCACTTTGGGCCGAAGGTCCAGGGAGCAGGGGTGAGCGTAGCAGCTCCAGGAGGGGAGAGGGAGGTGCGCCAGTCCAGTGATGAGTAACACCGAGATGGCTGGACAGGAGGCCCAGCAGCCCCCACCACTACCCTGCCTCCTCCCTGGCCCAGACAGCAATTACTCTGCCACATGTCAGCTAAAGAATAACAGGTCCAGAATCCCTCAATTGACTGGTTGATGGGAATATTTCTGCCTGGCTATTTTCTAAAATAATACCTTTTCAGATTTCAGCAGGTTTTAATTTGTTTATTCATTACGTAGTGGTTACATCTGCATGACATTTTCTAAGTAGGCCACACATTGTCACACTGGGTGTGAACATTTGTGTTCTTTATCCAGACAAGTTGCAGGTTCTGTCCTCGTTAACCACACAGTTCACTGCCACTCCCATATTTGTCCTGTGATTGGATCAGACCTTGGGCTAAACCTGGGTGTTTCCTCCTGTGTCTAACCCTATCAGGGCCTGGCTGCAATCCATATGCACACAGCTAGCATACTTTTGGTTACGTGGTAATGACTTAAGTAACCCTAATTTAGACGGAAATTATTTCACATCATTATGAATGCAACTGTTGTCAATCAAAGTCAGAAAACCAGTTCTGGTCCTGTTAAACCATTCCAATCAACTGATTTGAAGTCTAGATTTTTATCTCCAAATGAAACTTGTAACAAAGACACGCAGACTTGTACACACACATACACCCGAGCACACCTGCAGCCGTAACCCTCTGTGACACCACCCAGGAGGCCTGAGGTGCCAATCAGCCAGGTGTAGATGAAAAGTTCCCAGAAGGCCTGAGATCCCTGGTTCATGCTATGTCAGGTCAGGTTCATCCCTCTTCTAGCTTGATCGACAGAGACAACCTGGCCATGTCACACACAGCCTTAGGACATGACATGGAGGTTCACCTGGGGATTGTAGTTTTCCTAATAGCCCTGTGCCTCTGCAGGCAGTACTGCCAAAGCCATTAGTTTGCTTTGCTTTTAGCAGCTTCTCTTCCTAAGCCACACTTCCAGGGAGAGGGAATATGCTCAGGTAATGACCTCCAGCCACCTCTCTTCCACTGTTGTCTGAGGCGGTGCAAGACATAACAGGGGAATTAGCTGGCCATATCAAATTGCAGCACGTTACTCCAACGGCTGTTATGTAGGGCGAAAAAAAACGGTGGAGCGTTTTCAGTTGAATATTTAAAAGTGGTCATGAGCAGCAGCAGAAATAACAACCTTTTCCCTGATTGTCTCAGTACCCTGGAGGTGGGGGGCATAAAGTGTAACTGGGGGAAAAGGAATGGAGACGGAGGGAGGGAGAGAGAGAGAATCTGCATGCACTTGACCTTTTCCCACTGATTGAACTACCTCGTTTCTAACTCCCATTTGGAATTCCACAGAGTGCCCACAGAGACTGTCATTATTCCACAGTCTGCAGCAGGGAAGCAGGGGTCATGAGGTATTTTTCATAGTGAAAGGTGATTGACAGCTATCCATGGCCTGCCTCCTCCTAGGTGCCTACTTATGCAATCTCATTTTGGGGATCACTGGGTTTGCATAGCCACATGAAATGTGTCATTCACATTTTCATCACATTGCTATATTGCAAAATCCAGAGCATTAATAGAGTTTCACATTATTTTAGAGGGACAGTCATGTGATACTGGTTGTACTAGTCTTACCTCATGCATACTACAGGCTCTCTTCTGTCATGTTGGCGTCTCAGCGCTGGCACACAGAGGATCATTTCCGGCTGGCGGTGTCCCACAGAGCCATGCCTTCCCTCTGCCCTCTGCCTTCTGCTGTGAACACGGGGGGCGAAGCAATCTTATTGCCATGGGAGGTGAGCTTGAGGAAAAGGGGCTCTGCTTTAGTTTTGGTCACAGCGGGACTTGGGTTGAAAAACAGGTTCCTGGTTCCAAAGCCTCGGAGCTGGCATTTGGGCGTCCCAGGTGCAAGGCATCGACACCCTCTGTCTTCGCCTGCCAGAGAGTGGGGGTGGGTTGGGGGAT